TCCAAACTGTACAGGAATGATCAGTACCAAGTCTAGTTGTGCACTGTCTGTCTGTCTGTCCGTCTGTCACAAAACTTGTCCCAATATGAAATTGGCCATCATGAGGGGACACATGTGATCGCTGATCGCTCTTGTCTTTTCTACTAAACCAAGGGGTGATATGCGTAAAGTTTTATCTCTTTTTCAATTTTTTGCTTAACAATGTCAGGTTTTAGCAATGCAGACTAAAGGTTTTTAGACATGATGAAATATCTTTCACCTGTATATTCCAGGGAGAAACCAAATTTGAAACCATTTAAAATGAATTTTGCCAGTTTTAAAGGATATCCGTCTAATGCTCTTTCTAAAATATTTACTTTAATTGGTGATTTTCCTAAAACTGATATGTTGCAAAAAATCTGCTTGTTTTGTTTTCATTAAGGTTCATTGTTCCAATAGGGTCTGCCACGAAAAGTGCCCCTTTGCCCACGAAAGCTGCTTTGTGTGTGATTAGGTTTTGGCTTTGTTGTTTCAGCCCCTAAATGCTGACACTGAGTTTTGTTATGCATATTTGAATTGCATATGCTGCATATGTGGGAAAATTTACATAATGTCCATTTGCAATCTCCTGCATTGAAGTCATTGCATGCAAACTGTTTCTTTTTAACTTGATATCCAAAATTAGATTGATACTGATTTTTATTGTGGGTGTATAGAGTAATCTGATCATGGCTGGGGATAGACATTACTCTTGACCATAGTTCATGGTGAATTGATCCCCAGTTACCTTTAAGTTCAGGCCAGCCCTGACGATGTCTAAATTGTTCGTCATACATCCGCCAAGAGTGTGGGAACTTTTAAGACGCATCACGTATTATTGTCATGTATTTTATCAAAGGATGGACTTCCTCAGGGTGAGCTGATATATATATCGACATGTACTATATCAAAAATGCATGTCTATTTTTCGATGTTCTTTACATATAGATTTGATGCCTTTTGGCGAGTTTCAAGCATACCTTGATCATTAACAAAAAGGGACGCTCCATAATGCATGTCAGACAGCTCTATAGACCCTTTTAATAATATGCTTAAATTAATGAACTGACCTTTTATAATTATGCTCCCTGAAAAATTTCCGTGGCGGCGCCTTGTCTGTCCGTTGTCTTGTCCAGAGCATAACTTGAAAACCCTTTGAGATAATTTGTGGTAGAGGGCATTGAGGGGGAGTGCAGTGTCAAAGAACCATAACTCTTTTTTGTCCGGTTTTTGAATTATCTCCCCTTATAGAAAAATCTTGTCCGGGGCATAACTCTAAAACCATAAGAGATATCAACATGAAACTTTGTAGGTAAATAGAGCTCTATGGGTAGATGTGCAGTGCATAAGAACAATAACTCTCTTTGTCCTAATTTTGGAGTTATTGCCCTTTGTTAATTTTAACACTCTGAACTTTGTCCGGAACATAACTCTAAAACTATAAGAGATATCAAGATGAAACATTGCAGGTAGATAGATCTCATTGAGTAGAGGTGCAGTGCAAAAGAACCATAACTCTGTTAAGCCTCATTTTTTAATTATCTCCCCTTTTAGAAAAATCTTGTCCAAGACGTAGCTGTAAAACTTTAAGAGATATCAACATGAAACTTAGGTATATATATCTTAATGTGTCGATGTGCAGTGCACAAGAATCATAACTCTGCCTTGCCTAATTATGGAGTTATTGCCCTTTGTTTATTTTTACTTTTTGAAGTTGTCGGGGACATAAGTTGGAAATCATAAAAGATATCATCAAGAAACTTTGTATGTTGATAGATCAGATTAGAAGTGCAGTGCAAAGAACAGTAACTCTGGCTTGCCTAATTTTGGAATTATTGCACTTTGAACTTACCAGGGACATAACTCTGAAACTACAAGAGGTGTACTTTCCTGTGTCCAAAACCTATTCGGGGAGCATCACCCAGCTCAAACCGGGCTCTTGTTTTTTCTTTCAAATTTTGGGGGATATGGCTTGCCAACTCATCCCCACCACACCTAATGATTTCTCTTTCATTAAAATTCATTGAAAAATTTATTTTACCAAAAATATTGTCAAAATGATTTATTTGATTTTCTTGCCTACCTGATGGCTCCTGATGGTCACCATCTCCACCAAGCAATACTGGTTCGACTGGAATCTCTCTCTTTCCTGTTCTGGAGGATTCTCATTTAGATCTACAGCTTGTATTTTCCTTTTCCTCCCTTTACCTCTTCCAGGCATTATTAGTACAAAGATGAATTAAGATTCTTTTTATGATTAAAATGTGCTGCTGTTCTCTTGAGAGTTTGCAGGAAAAGGAAGCTGATAGGGAATTGCATCTTGGGTAATAATGCCAGACAGATACAAGGTCGAAGTTCAAAATTACCTCCCTTGATATTTGAATTATGCCAGTACAAGTAACTTCCCTTGAATATGTAATGACAGTACAAGTTACTTCCCTTGAGTGTATTTATATACAATAACAAAATATAGGCATTCTAAAATAAACAGCAAATATTGTTAAATGCAATATTTGGATTTATTTTTATCCATTCCACTAAGTACATTCCCACAATGCAATTCTTTATAGTCGTCATTCTCATCCATGACATCACTTATTATTCACTGTTAAAGACATATCTATTTATTTGCTGCATGTACTACACATAGCTTTTCTTTTTTCAATGCAATCTTTGATCCATGGAAACTTTCAAAGTTATTATTTGTTGAAGACACATTTTTTGGGCACCATTTTACAGTTTCTGTAGGACAACTACAGGTTAAACCCATACTTGTTCATTTTATTTGCCTTTTGTCCTTTTACTGTCATTTCTTATTTTCAAGCACTTTTTAAGAATGGGGCTCAAATTCAAGCACTTTAAATTTAAGACTTTTCAAACCCTATACAATTAATGTTTAAAATTATGAGTATCTGGTTTAATGTTGCAACAGTTTTCACTCAGGTGAGCGATAAAAGTCCATCATGGCCTCCTTGTTATTGTAGGCTACTCAGTTTCATATCTAGATGTTAAAACCCTATAAAAGTAGACTGACAGTTTCAAATTGAAAGTATGGCAAGTTCATTGTACAAATTTAGAGGTGTATGGATAACCTGAACTTTTACCCCTAGCATCTCAAACTGAACTACACATTTAGAAAGATGATTTCAAGATGTCTTATAAATGTAAAGTTATTATCTTTGACATGAGATGTTAAATAAAATGTATATATTTTTGCATTCATTGTTCTCTAATTACTCCTATAACGCTTTGAGTTTTCAATCTTTTGTGACTAACATTAGTCAGAAATATGATCTTTAGGGTATTACGACCCTAATGGGCACTATAAGGAACTAAAAAATTTACATCATAGGTCAGATATATACCTTAAAGTACACCTGTATGCAAAATTTGAACAAAGTTTACCGTACGGAAATTAAGTTATGGCCACTTTTCTGAACTCAAGCTAGAATGTTATGAGGGCCCTTTTTCAGAAATGAGGAACCTTTAAATAATTTCCATTAACATTCTAATGAAAAATGTTTTCCCATTATTTTTTGCTAAGAAACAAATTCAGCTAACAATCCACATAAGCAAAATTATGGTTTCTACTTAAAATTTATGAAATCTGTATAAAAATGTTACCCTACCCCACCCATTTTTACGTGTCTGACCATTTTCCTACTTAGGGAGCCTAATTTAAAAAATCCTTAAAATTTACCCAAATGAGTGCCTGTTTTCAAAGTTTCCCTAAATTTTTAAAAAAGTATATTGATTGATCTTGTAAAGTATGAAATACTTTTACCGTGTAGTTTTGATTTTATTACACTTTAAAAATATCGGGTACCATATTTAATATCAGGTACCATATTTATTACTAGATTTAGCATAATTTAGCCAATAAATACCTATATAAATAAAAAAAATCAAAATTAAACACTTTTTTCTTTCCAAATGGGACATGAGAGATACATAAATAATGTTAAAAAAAAGAAAGAAAGAAAACAAGTGTGACTGTCACAAGGATGCTACATACCAAATTTGAAGTAAATCTGCCCAGCAGTTTCAGAGAAGAAGACGATTGTTGACGCATGACGACGGACGCCGGAGTATCCCCCTTTGATACTTATAGCTCACCCTGAGCCTTCGGCTCTGGTGAGCTAAAAAAAGTTGACCTTTCTAGGGATTGAACCCACGGCCCTCATTTTCAATGTAGTTAACAGTAGTTCTAGCCTATTTGAATACTCTTCAAAGCGGAGGTAATGCATTAGGATGGTAATACCTTAAATCAACAAGGCATTCCACCAGTTTTTACCTGTTTTATTGTTGTTATATCCCATATTTTACACCAAATTTCATACCAAAGTGATTATTTGGCATTAAAAGTCACAACAACACTATGAAGGTCATGTGATGACTTTTCAGTTTAACTGATGAAGAACTCTGGTAGCTGTTCTAGCATAATTTGAGGCAGAAGCAAGCACTCCAATAGAACCACCGGCCTTTGAGCTAGCTGGATAACTTCCTCACATGACAATTCAGGCAGGAGGTGACAGAGGTCAAGTCTGCACACAGAGGTGACAGAGGTCAAGTCTGCACACAGAGGTCACAGAGGTCAAGTCTGCACACAGAGGTGACAGAGGTCAAGTCTGCACACAGAGGTGACAGAGGTCAAGCCTGCACACAGAGGTGACAGAGGTCAAGTCTGCACACAGAGGTGACAGATGTCAAGTCTGCACACAGAGGTGAAAGAGGTCAAGTCAAGTCTGCACACAGAGGTGACAGAGGTCAAGTCTACACTTTGAGGGTAGAATTTGTCCAGAAATAAATGGTGTTGGTAACAATTTGTTAGAATATCTCTAAGGAATACTTGTATTTATTCTGTTAATTTCCAGATTTCATTGAAATCATCACATGTATTTATGTACTTGTTACCTTGGTGAAATAAAACAATTATTATACATGAAGACTAAGTTCATTAAAAACTATACAGAAAAGTCTGGGAAGTTTTAAAGTTTATTAAATCTCAATCAGTAAATATCATAACAGAGTGATAGTAAAGATAAAATATGAAAGCACTATTGTTATAAAAGTGGCACAAAAATGAAGCCTTCACTCTGTAAAGTGACCCTCTTATCAAACTTAGTGAAATAATTTAGCCATTATTATTAGCACAAAACTATGAGATATGATATGTTGCGGTGATCTGTTAAATAATAATATGACATGTATGAGCCGCGTCACGACAAAACCAACACAATGGGTTTGCGACCAGCATGGATCCAGACCAGCCTGCGCAGTCTGATCAGGATCCATGCTGTTGGCTTACAAACTATAACAAGTAGAGAAACTGATAGCGAACAGCATGGATCCTGATCAGACTGCGCGAATGCGCAGGCCGTTCTGGATCCATGCTGGTCGCAAACCCATTATGTTGGTTTTGTCGTGAAGCGGCTCATATATCATTCAAAAACATATCTTTATAATTATCATGATGAAAGAGAGTATTTGGATTATTTTAGAGATGAAAAACAACAGCAACAAAAAATGAGGAGCAGTTAATAGAAATCAACACCCCCACCAAAACTAGCTACAGAAAAGTAGTATATTGAATACTGGAGACCCTGAATATGTACCCATACGAAATATTTTTCTTTTTTCCATCTTCAGTAAAGGTGATGTTTTAAGAAAAATCAAGACTATCAATGTAAAAATCGCCGCCACACATTGTTCTATAAAATGTGTCATTTTACAAATAAATACACAAATACAAAAGCCTTAGAGGCATAGTTTCTATAATCTTCCATCAAATAACAATAAATAAATATGTACATAAATTATGTACAACAATAACATTTTCTTTGTAGCATTTAGAGAAAATGCATATGTAAATTTAATACACAAATGCATATTTAAAAATTTCAGTTGGTCAAACTATTCAATGACTTAGAAATCTGTAGAAATCTGTTCAAATCTGTCAATATTAGTTAAATAATGTTTTACATACTATATACATGTATGTGAATTATAAAACAATACAATATCAACAACACAATACGGATTTCAGGTGGCAAAAAAAATATAATGGCATACTGTAATTTATGCAAGGCTTATAGATGCTAAAATCCTTTTTAGGAAGAAATTTCCTATGCATGTGAAAAATTAAAAGGTTGTCCCTGTTAAATCAAAATATAATGTGAAGCATGGTATAAATATTTAAATATTATTAAGTAACATTAAAGCTGCAAGCACTCCTCCAGACGAGCCAAAATTTTTCAAGAAAATCAATATTTAGAAAAATGTACACAAATTTTAAGAAAGGTAAAACATCCAAGATCCAAGTTATATATTACATGTTATGTGCAGTTTTAGACTGATTTTGTAGTATTTTATCACCATATTTTTACTTTGTTACTAACGCAGTAAGGGCTGTTTTTGCATATGTTGACCACTTTTTGGTATCTTTTCTTGGATTGTAAGTGCTGATTGCAATATGTAAATTGGTTTATTTGTTCACCTCACAATATTTTACTTTTAAACAAACTTCCAAAATTTTCATGAAAATTAACATGAATTGGCGTGCTGCTACTACACAGATTGTGCAATTTGACTATTTTATTAGAATACACCAATTTCATCGCCTATTGAAACATGTACATGCATTAAAGTGCCGAAGTTTGTAAGAGTGCTTTAATACTGATGAAAACAAGTTTTATCAAATTAATTCATAATTATGCTATGCAAGTAGTACATTTTTTGAATGCAGAAACAGGCTTATCCTTATAAAAGAATAAGTAATTAAAGGGTTGTTTGTTCAATCCTTTAGCAAGACAAAATTTCTCCATGCAGGTGACAGGCAATAAAAAGCTTTGTGTCAATAATAAAAGTCATTGAAGTATTCTGTAAATCAGGGATGACTGTCTAAAATAACCACTAAGATAAAATATTTAAAAAAAAAAAAAATAACAAAAGGGATTGGTTAACAGGTTAAAGTAAATATTACACTTATCTCTAAGACTTCATAACATTTCACACATTTTTTGCTGAAATTCTTAAACTCTGTTGCGCTGTAAAAATCTTCTCTTTAGAGTAGTTAGGACATGTATATAATACTATAGAACAATTCTATTCTCAAATATGATATTTCAATTATTGCTTGTTTAACAATGGAGTTAGAGATTGTCATTGAGATATATTAATATAATATATAACCTATAAACACAGCCTTATTGTTGATCTATCTAAAATAATAATTCCTCTCAGATCTTAATATTTAAACCAATCAGAACGTTGAATTTAACACTTGTTTCAAATGTCATACGACTAGACGTTACCAATAAAATACTCTCTACTCTTGGAGGAAAGAAGATCACTGGACTGTCACTTTAATATAATCTCTTGTCAAAGAATTTTGTTGTGTTAAATGTTGTGGATTGGATGAACTTGACACAGAAGCTGTGGCCAAAACAGGTGACTCCTCAACATTGGTTGAATCTTCACAAACTATGGCTGCTAAATGGTTAACACATATCCTGAAATCATAATTTGCCAGGTATGTACATGTAGGAAAACAAATAAAATCTATAAATAATTTTAAGTATACTAAGTTATTTCGACCGGAGAAAATTTCAATACATGTAGTAGTACAAGACTATAATAATTAAAAGAAGTTGTATACAATTGAAGCCCTAGTAGTGGTGTGTGTTTTTACCCAGGGATCATAAGTTTGAGAACTACCAAGGTGACGAACATGTTTCCTCATATGACCCCAATACTGGTAAGCTTCCCAACAAGAACTCCTTTAGTGGTTCAAAAAGCATAAAGTTATCATATTCCAGCGCATGTAAATAATTTAATACATATATATTTGAACTAAATAAAAATCGGTTTTAATCTCTCCTTATAGTTTTACTATTTCTTTTCATCCTCTACTGCTTATTTTGTTAGCTTTTATTGTGGAGGAAAAAAAGCACCAGATAACCCTTCCTCTCATAATAATCATTGGCTAGCACCCTCAACAAACATGCTTGAAAGTAACACCAACAAAATATAAAACAACAGGTGTTAAAGGGCAACTTTGAAGTCAATGGCACTTAGCCAAGTGGACACCAGAGTCAAGAACTTAATATATTCATACAGATGATGAAATTTATAAATAACAATACCATAATAAATGTGAGCCTGCGAATGTTGACTTGAAGAAAATTAATGAGGTCACGGATGCCACCAACTGAAATGAAAAAAGTTCATTATTCTTATTTCTAGTACATTTAAAGTTGAAGACTGAATACTGCGAATTCACTTATATACATGGGTATGAAATTTCGTGGTTTTATCAAATCAGGCATTTTCGTGGGCTCTTAAATTTGTGGATTTTCAATTTCTTGTAAAAAAATCAAATAAATAACCTAATGCAAAGTAATCTTACACTTAATTGCCGCGCATTTTACTGAACACATGTACATATCTTTCCGTATCACACATCACTTGTCAGTAAATTTAATCCTTGCGTCTGGGCATTCATTACACAAAAATTGGCAGAAAAGTGCCGAAATGATTTTAATGTACAAAATAGAGACATGGCAAGAAGTATTTGTCCGGATAAAATTTCATCGGATCTTAAATTCGTGGATTGACCTACCCACGAAAACCACAAAAATTCGTGTCCCACAAATAATAATGATTTTACAGTACTGCTTAAGACATTGTTAGAGGGGTTTTCCTTTCATTATCCGTCATGAACAGACTAGATCAAATGGAGTCTGCAATTTTTATGTATTTTTGTTGTTTTTATTACTTCCAAGGGATCTCCCCTTATCCAAAATTTTAATTACATGTTTAATTTAATGGTTTTCTACATCATTAACATATGCTTTAACCATAAACTATTATCCATCCCGTTTGCTATTGAAATATTAAAATAATAAGCAGTATATTAAACACAATTTTTTTATACACATTTCCATTGCAAGAACAAAACTCGGCTTGTAAACATACCATTTGAAATTTCAAGGAACTAACTTTTTCTTACATTCATTATTTTGACAATCCCTTGTCATTGTCAAAGACTTTGTAAGCCAGATCTGTGCACATTGCAAAGGCTCTATACTTTTAGCTGTTTGATTATCATCATGCTGAATCATCTCCAACTCACAATGCACAGTTCCAAACAGTTTCAAAGCAGTACAAGTCCATTACATAAATTCACCATACATGTACTTGTGAAATAAACAAATCAGCCTACAAGTTGAATAACCTGCTTAATTTGTATATTGGAGAAGTTTAGCTTTGAATTTTGAACAGTTCATTCAAAGTTTAAGGGATTTCAATATCAATTATTTAAAAAATGGGTCAAAGACAGAAAAGGCCGGGCTGCATTTGTATACCAAATATCATGAGGATGTGATGTTACATAAAATGTTTACCATTGACCGTTAATGTCGAAAATTTAACTAAGTCGGTAAACAGGAAGTGGATGACAGACACATCTGAAATTGAATTCCACGGTATGGGACCACTAGTTAATGCTGTACTCCAAATATCAAAAGGCTGTGATAAGTAGTTGCTGAGAAAACTGTTACGAAAATTTCCTACCATTGACCATTAATGCCGAAAAATTTAACTAAGTCGATAAAGAGGAAGTGGATGAGCGACAGACCTGAAATCGAATCCCACGGTATTGAACCAAATGTCAATGCTGAATGCTAAATATCAAGAGGCTGTGATAAGTAGTTGCTGAGAAAACTGTTACTGCAGAAGTGCAGGCTGGCTGGCCTGACTTGATAGTGGTGGCAAAGACTAAACATTTCTGGTTACAACAGGTTCAGGGTTATAATATACAAGTACTTACTTTACATATTCCTGTTATTTTTGCCATTTCTCCCTTATCTATATTACTTTCCACGAGTTTTATATTACTGAGGGCGAGAAAAACACCAAACACACCACTGAAACAAATGCAATATACATGTATACAGAAATATACAGAAATAATATATGGTTTACAAATGAACATTAAAGAACATTTACTATAAAAACTTTTCGCTTTAACATGTAGTATTTCAGAATATTTTATCATCAAGCTTCAGCATTTTAGAAAAAAAACTTTTAGGCAATATAACCAAAGGCTTCAATCATAATAGCAATATTCGACACAGCAAAAACTATAGCTATTATGGTAATTTGTTCCAGCCACTTAAGCCGAGAACTCTTATCATTTTATGCAAATAACTTCAGCCATAATAGGTCCTTCATTAGTGTGCAACTATAACAGAACATATTACATACCTCATGATACAACCAACATAAAATTTGGAGAAGTATAAATATGGATATCTCCCAGCTTGTACAGCATCCCCTGAAATAAAATATATCAAGACCTGAAGAGTATTTATCTACTTACCATACACACTCTAAAAAAAAACTTTCTGCTAAAAGTACCTATCAAAATGATTGCAGCTTGATAAATTCACGAATTCGAAAACCTAGCTAAATGCCGTTTTTCGGTACTTTCTGTACATAGCTCTGGGGAATTCACCTAATTGGAGTGTAATAACGAACTCTATGTTTTTGGCCTTTTTTTTAATTAAAGTGAAATTAAACAGTTAATTCTCTGTAAGAAAATAATTAAATATCATTGTATGAATAATTCTATACAAAAAATAAAGTAAATACACAAGTTTACGCAGAAAATATCTTTATTTATTATGGAAGATGCCACTACGAATGTTTTAATTTTATTGATTTTTATTATATAAACCTTTTTTTGTTTTGGAAAAATTTGCAATAGATATTAAAGGAATATTGATAATTTTCAAACACATCAGTTTTTTTCACCTTAAACTGTAAAATAATGATAGAAAAATAGAAATATCATGTAATTGTGTTATGTACTTTATTTGGTGTAATTCCCCGGAGTTAAATACGTAACGTACCGGAAAACGGTGTTTAGCTAGGTTTTCGAAAAGGTCAATCAATGATAAAAGACTTGTAAATAGGATAACTGTTTGTCTGTTTGGTTTAAGGGGCACAAACACATTTAGGTCATATGATGCCGAAACAGGCAAGATGATTTTGGCAAACTTTGGGTAATACAAACTTCAAACCAACACCAGGGTTAGAATAACAACTTTAACTAGTTATTTATATCAATACACCACTCATTTGTAAAAATAGTCCAGTTAATTCAAGGTATTTGTCTCAATTTTCAAATCAGTTCTTGTGTTGCTTGTAACATAACATAGTCTCATCTTTATTTCTTAAACTTTTTATTAACACCTAATCTTGCACGCTATAATTTTAATTATAATAATAAATCAAGCACATACCTAGAAAATAGCTGGAAGGAGCTAAAACTATCACACTGAAAAAGAAAACAAATACACACGATTTACCCAGTGGTATTTATAAGCAATAATGTCATTTCTATGTGTATTAAGCCAACAGTTTAGGTGGGTTTAAATGTAAATGCATGGCGACTTTTCAGCTGTCGAAAGGAGGACAATCTCATTTTCCTTCTAGTGCATTATTTCAGTCATAAGAACTAAGCATTCTGTAAGATAGCTGGATAGGTTCCTCACATGACAGAATTTATTATAGTTCCTAGCAGGACTGAACTCAGTGATCAACAATAAACAGCAAGGTTGCGCAGTCTTTTCATTGGTTAATTGTGATATTTACATTGTTTAATATACATAGCTGCTGTCAATCTATAAAGAAATCTCATTTTGCTGTTTAAAATATTTTTTACCAGTCATATGGCTGCATATAAACGTTTGTTGTTTTTTGTTGTTGTTTTCTTTTGGGTTTTACGCCACATCGACACAGTATAGGTCATATCGCGACGTTCCAGCTTTACTGGTGGAGAAAGACCTCATGTGCCCTTCCGTGCATTATTTCAGGCACAAACGGGCCCCTGAGTAGAACCACTGACGTTCCGTAAGGTAGCTAGATAGCTTCCTCACAAGAAAGAATCCAAAGTCTCTGCTGGGATTCGAACCAACAGCAGTGAGGGGCAAGTGGTTTGAAGTCAACTACCTTAACCACTCGGCCACGGACGCCCCAAAACGTTTGTTGTAAAATAAAAAACGATATAGAGATTTATGGTAGAAAAATAATATATCACATTAACTCACCTGTATAAATAGTTACAATACATCTTTTCATGAGCACTGAAATATAAGAAATAAAGCTTTAATAGATTTTGTATACGCTTAACTGCTACATAAATTTCTTTCCATATAAGATCCTGTAACTTTTCACACTAACCCACAACCACCACAACAACCCTCACTCCTTAGATTCATTTAATAGCAAACAAATTGGTACTTAAAATAGTAGTATATTTAGTTTACTTTTTATTCTGGTTTACAAAGGAGGGAGAGGTGACTTGAATATATAATATTAATACACCTGTTACTATATATAGTAACAAAATCGCCTATGATTTCAACTGATTATGAGTGTCATGTGACCTGTTATCAGTTTGTGGCCCGGTCCGAGAACTAGTTATCAGCCCGCTGAACATGTACACGTGCACAAACTCAAACAATGATGTCATGTTTTACGTCATCAAGTAGTTAACTATAAAAGTGAAAGTAGGTTTTAAGCACGAATCGCTTGATTTTATTATGAGAGCTTAAGCGTATTACGTACAAACACAGTTTTATTAGATCTACTATTGAAATTTAAAGAAATAATAAGACAAATTCATTCCGAAAAAAATGAAACTTGCTTCTATATTTTACAGTAGTGTACTTTGAACACACAAAGTTAAACACTTTGAAGAAGCTACTGTACTGTACAGTAGAAATGCAGACAGGAATTTCAACGAAAGAAACCTCAAAGTATTTTTTTTAGAAAAATGCTACTATTAGATCTACCAAGTGTATTAAAGACATTAATACACGTCATAGTTGTGCTAGAATGTGATAATCGGCCCTGAAATGAATAATGCCCTCGGGCCATTATTCATTTTGCGGGCCGATTATCACCTTCCGGCCCTACTCTGCCGTGTATTAATCTCTTATTATCATACCTTAATTTTAATCTTCCTCGAGAAATCTTTGAATAAACACCATATCCACCTGTAAATATATTACATGTTTGACATATCTATACTTAACTTTAACATTACAAAATTGATATAATCAATTAAAAAAAAAATAAATGTTTGGTAAATTCATTTCTTTCATATTCATATAAACAAAACATTAGGAATTGGTAAATTTATATTGCCCACTTGGCCATGCCACCACTTTTTTCATCACAACGTGGAGCTAATTATGTCACTAAACATTGTATAATACATTTATGTCAGCTAGCATGTTAACACTATGAAAATGAAAACTATAACAAGAGAGCTATTGTAGCATTCTACTGTATAAATCTTACAGGGGTTCCTAATAAGCTGCTTACAGATATTTTCTTCTCTATTACTATTCACAAAGATCATCAATGAACAAAGTATAGTAAATACTTTAGTATATATATTGAAGAATAACCAATTACTTGAAAAAAGATGTTATTCCAAAGCTTTTCTATTCTTAGGTTAGTTACAAAAAATAAAAAAAAATACCTTGCAACTTTCCAAATGAGTAATTAATACTTAAAATAATGGCCAAATTTGCATCACCTATTAATAAAGTAGATGTATGTTCTACCTTAAGAGTAAAATATTACGTGTATCATTTTTACCTGTTGTTAAAATATGAACACAGGTCCAGAAATAGCCATCCATGTGGTAGTCTGGGTCAGTGGCCCCTATTAAAATTGATGATACAACCAGTATCATCAACATTGTGTAACTGTAGATACTTGTCAACTGAAATAGTAGCATTAAACCTACATAAACAAAACAGCAGTCTGAGTTCAAGGGGACCTTTTTTCCTTCTTTAATTTTAATGCTTTTCATTCACACAAGGACAGTTATGAACCACGTGGCAATTTTTAAGCATATCTTATGAACAATGACCCTGGATGCTTCTACATATAGGCAAATTAAAAAAATAAATCTTAAGTACATGTATATAAATACAGTTTTAAAAGAAGGGGAAACCTATATATAATCTTCTTTTGATATTTTTAAATGGGTGACGTCACCTTAATACTAGAATTGTGACAAGTAAAGACAGTTATCAGTTCAAGACTTTAAACAATTCATTTTCATAATTAGCTTACTTTATATCAATATTGTCTCAAACAAATACTAAATTATCTGTCTTGTGAAGGTTTATAATGTAAAAAGTATTTTAGAAAAAGTAAAGAGTACCATTAACTATGTCAAACAATTTAAGTAATAACATTAATATTCAATTAATTTAGCCAAAATGTTGTAATTTAAACATAAAGTATGTCATAGCCACACAAAACTTGATAAAAGTGTTAAGAGATTACTTATTAAATTCACAAAGGGGGAATAAATCTGTGAAAATCTAAAATAGAGTTATGGGTCTTGGTACATGACCAACAATCAAAACCTTAAAGATGTGTCATTTACCTGTCTATATACGGCAAGCTGAGCTGTACATAGTATCACCGTAACTAGGTTGTGTAGAGACAGGAACACTGGAATGGACTGAAATGATAAAATATTGACGCTTCACGATATAATAATTGACATCATTTTATTTATGTAAGTAATTCTATCTCTCTTACCAACAATTTTAGTTTGTAACAGAAAGATGGTAATGCATCAGAAATAAACATCCAATCTTGGCTGGGATTGGAAATCGTAACCACAAGCTTACAAAGTAACAATGTTCCAGACCACTGGATCAAAGAATCAATTCCCTGACACAATGATCAGATGTTCAATTATAATTGGTTTAAACATACTTATTTTAGCTCGATTGCGAAACAAGTTCTTGCAACTTATATTAATCACTTTCGAATTCGTTCCTGGAACCAACCAGTACTAGTGTCATATGAAGAAACATGGTTGTGACCCAATTTTAGTTATGATAGTTATGAAGAATGATAGTTATGAAGATAGGAGTGCACTCAACTGAGAACAAATATTATGTTGTTGCAACAAATCCAAGTGAGAACAAATATTATATTGTAATGTAATCTTTACCAACAACATGCAATGAATATACAGTACATGTATTAAACAAAGGCGACTATTTTTATTATAACTTACCAAGGCAGCTAAAGCTTTGGACCCAGAATAAATTGAGCTCACAAAGAACATCATCCCTGGTAACCAGTTGGCAATGTCATATCTGAAAGGTGAAAAAGATCTAGTGAGATTTAAAAAAAAGATTAACCTTAATGTTAATGTACAACAATGATTCTAACGTAAGCAACGTAATGACGTCATCCTAAGTATACATCAACTCATTCATCAGAATGACGTCATTTCAAACATACAAGAATGATTAAACAAACTCTGACGTAGTCACAATACAATCCAGTATGAGACATAAGTTGTTATTGTTGAAAACTTGATAAAATAACTTTTTTTTATTATTTTTCTTGTTTTATAATTTCTATATCTTAGCAACAGTAGGGTGCGAAATCGAACAGCGTTTTACGAAAATCGGCACAGTAAGTGATCTTCCTTATTTTATCTTGTTAGAATCCAAATAATATCAGTCTGAGTGGTGTTTATCGGCTATTTAACACTGATTTTGTCATTTTGATGCGAAAAAATTAACCACTCAGGCCTATGGCCTTCGTGGTCAATTCCTACGCATCAAAAGTCCTAACCGGTGTTAAATAGCCGATAAACACCGATCAAACCAATATTATTTCTTAAATATACATTGAGTATAATCTTTATTGCATTTAGATACTCATATCTTGTCATAGTATGCCACGAGAGTCATGGTAATTCTTATAAAAATTTTTTCAAAAATTGTGTAATCTTAAAGGAACTCAACTTCAATTTATTGACATGACAGAGCTCTGCTGGAATTTTTTTTTTTTTTAGATTTGATCATTTGTGTACCATTTGATGTAAGTCTGAACTAATAACTTATGAGCAAAATTTCATAATTATCATTAAATTTTGCTAACTTTTTTCTAGAATTGTCATTTTTATTGTGCAATATGACCAAGAAATGAAAAAGTAATGACAGCAACAATTTTGACACAAATAAGGCTAAAAAACACAATAAAAATTTGATTAGCTCAGCATATATTTCCTTACACCTTTAGCAAATTTTTCTATTTTATGCACATCTACTGATACTTGTAAGAATTTCAAATTTTATGTATTGAGGCTTTTGGATCCTGGATGTGCATTTGCTGTCAGATACATATGTGTTTGCTTGTATAAACTACATGTATAATTTCTATCACATACAATAAAGATTAAGGAATTTATTACATACAGGAATAACAATTAATCTTTTATTTAGCCTTACCTGTCTGTATTGTCAAGAAGTGTTGGTAGATGCCTTGTTGATACCAACAAACTCAACATTAGGAATCCTACCAGAGTCTGCCATCTGAAATAAGTTAAAGGCCCATATCATATTTGTTTTACATAACCATATCTGCAATGATTTTTAAGGATATACAAAAACTTAAATTTAATACAATATCAGGTTTTTTGCTTGATATACAGCATGTTATTTGATTAGCTTCTCTCAAAACTTGTTTCTACAATGGCATTGGTTATTCAGAAAGATAATAACCACATTGTTCTCATATTTTTCAATCTGTGAAGGCTGGCTTGGCTCTATACTGGCAAAGGCTAATCACTTTTGGTTCCAAAACGATAAAGAATAAATGAATGTATTAAAGTTGACATACCCTTGAAAGATGGTTGGAAATTGGAACTTCAACACAGACAATACATACTGAAATCATAATAAGCATTGCATGATTTTAACACATTTTAATAAAATCGAAAGAAAGCCTTAAAGTTTAGCTGCTCAGGAAAAGGTACATGTACCATAAATAATGAGTAATTATTGACTTCCAAGATAAATATACATTATCCATGCAGATTTTTATGTTGAAAAACTAAAAACTTCAGTAAAAATAGAATCCTTAAGCTTGATATCATAACAGCAATACCATTAAATTTTATCTTCATAAGATATTATGTTGTCCTCTCTCAAAGATATTAAGCCTAAAAGATACCAAGTCCTTTTCTCCCAAAGTTAATATTTTCTTCTGAAGGTAACAAATTATTTCCTTTCAAAGATGATGTAAAGTCTAAAGATATGAAGTCCAAAGATATCAAGTCTTTTTCTTCCAAAGATGTCTTCTTCTACAGGTATCAAATTATTTTCTTTTCAAAGATACAGAGTCCAAGACAATAAGTCCAAAGGTATTAAGTCAAAAGGTATCAAGTCCAAAGGTAATAAGTTCAAAAGTATCAAGTTCAAAGGTAATAAGTCCAAAGGTATCAAGTTCAAAGGTAATAAGTCCAAATATATCAAGTTCAAAGGTATCAAGTCCAAAGGGATCAAGTTCAAAGGTAATAAGTACAAAGGTATCGCGTTCAAAGGTAATAAGTCCTAAGGTATCAAGTTCAATGGTAATAAGTTCCAAGGTAATAAGTCCAAAGGTATCAAGTCCGAAGGTTTAAAGTCCAAAGGTATAAAGTCCAAAGGTATCAAGTCCAAAGGAATCAAGTCCAAAGGTAATAAGTCCAAAGGTATCAAGTCCAGAGGTATCAAGTCCAAAGGTAATAAGTCCAAAGGTATCAAGTCCAAAGGTAATAAGTCCAAAGGTATCAAGTCCAGAGGTAATAAGTCCAAAGGTATCAAGTTCAAAGGTAATAAGTCCAAATATATCAAGTTCAAAGGTATCAAGTCCAAAGGGATCAAGTTCAAAGGTAATAAGTACAAAGGTATCGCGTTCAAAGGTAATAAGTCCTAAGGTATCAAGTTCAATGGTAATAAGTTCCAAGGTAATAAGTCCAAAGGTATCAAGTCCGAAGGTTTAAAGTCCAAAGGTATAAAGTCCAAAGGTATCAAGTCCAAAGGAATCAAGTCCAAAGGTAATAAGTCCAAAGGTATCAAGTCCAGAGGTATCAAGTCCAAAGGTAACAAGTCCAAAGGTATCAAGTCCAAAGGTAATAAGTCCAAAGGTATCAAGTCCAAAGGTATCAAGTCCAAAGGTTTCAAGTCCAAAGGTATCAAGTCCAAAGGTTTCAAGTCCTAAGACATCAAGTCCAAAGGTATCAAGTCCAAAGGTATCAAGTCCAAAGGTTTCAAGTCCAAAGGTATCAAGTCCAAAGGTTTCAAGTCAAAAGACATCAAGTCCAAAGATATCAAGTCCAAAGGTTTCAAGTCCTAAGACATCAAGTCCAAAGGTTTCAAGTCCAAAGGTATCAAGTCCAAAGATATCAAGTCCAAAGGTATCAAGTCCAAAGGTTTCAAGTCCAAAGACATCAAGTCCAAAGGTATCAAGTAGGGGTGTGGATCGTCGGGTAAGTGACGATCCGATCCGAACCGCGATTCAGCACTTACGATTCACAAATCGAACCACAAATCTTTTGTTATCAAGACACCCATAAAAACATGTACATTAGTTCTAAAACATGTTTCATAAAAAAACTAAACATTAAACATGTATGCAAATATAAAATAGGTTTATCTTTTTATTCTTTGGGTGAGTATTTTTGTTTTCTTTTCTTGAAAACAATTACTTCCTAGCTCAGCATTATGGTACATGGTCTTTAACCGGCAAATTGTATTTAGGTAAACTTGTCATAATTTATACTCAAATCGTATTTTTCTCTACTTTTAGAGTGTGGGAAACAGTGAATGTATATAAACAAATAAGATCGCGATCCACGATCTCTGGGCTTACGGATATTCAAACTCAAATTTTTACTTTGATTCGTGGTTATCCGAGTACTCGGATACTCGCCCCAGCCCTAGTATCAAGTCCAAAGGTATCAAGTCCAAAGATATCAAGTCCAAAGGTATCAAGTCCAAAGACATCAAGTCCAAAGATATCAAGTCCAAAGGTATCAAGTCCAAAGGTTTCAAGTCCAAAGGTATCAAGTCCAATGGTATCAAGTTATTTACTTACAAATATGTCAAACTATTATATACAGGATTGACTGTATTGTGAAAAACTAAAAATCTCAAACAAACATGTATTGTAAAACTATACATACCTTGTTGACAAAATGAGTTGCAACAAATAATGCACAGTGGATACTTGCTTGTTGTAGTGAACTTCTCATGATTCCTTCATTATACTGAATTGAAATACATTAATCCATATTCATCAAGTTTCAGTTCATCACCTGGAATACACAGCAGTTAACTGGTATACTATATACATCATACCTCATCATTGTTAAGATTATCCTTGAAATAGTAATCTGCAGTTTTACCAGTTGAACTATCTAGCCACTTCTAAAACTATTCTTTTGAAGAATCTCTAAATCTTAAGTGTTTTGAGCTTTGGATAAACCATTTTCTTTTAGTATGATGTTTTTTCAGCAGTAAAGGACACAGGGCAATGCAATTTCTCCAGGGAGGGAACTGAAAATGTCTAATGGTCAGTAGTTGCTTGAATTTGTTTGAAAGCATCCATGGGACTGGAAATTTCAAGTTTGTCTTGTGACACTCTGGTTTGACAGGTTTGAGCTAGACAGACTAAGGAATCACAACTTGATTTTGCAGAATAGTTTGCAGTATTATCAAGCATTTACTTCTGTAACTAGAATCCTACACTCTACATATTTAAGCATTGAAACACTCGATATGTTCTATCGCACTTGTATTTATTTTTGACCCAATGGGCAAAATGTAGACTACACTGGGTGGTCTATAAGAACTCCAGTGTATGATGACAAGATACATGATTGTACTGATACTATCCTCAAAATAGGGGTTTTACAAAATTAATGTCTTGTAGAATGTTCTTTTTATAAGAGGTTTCACTATACAACCTTTTATTTTGCCTAGGAAGGCCACCGGCCCATAATACATATGCAATACCAGTAATATACATGTACAATGTTCTAGACTTGGAAGTAAAAACTTTTTACATAGTAAAACAGCATAATTCATTGTTATATTGTGTAATTAATCAACATTATATTTAACAATTGTTATTTGGCAGACATTTAGCATAGAAAACATCCAAGGTTTTATATGACATATTACCTAATTCTATATCTCTTGCCTAAAGTATACTTTTTGCCCTAGCAAAATACAAATAATTCATCTTCTGCAACTCTTAGATAAAAGAGATACATAATATACAATCTCTAGGTATACAAATTTAACAAGAATGACATAGTCACAAAATACGCCCGTCTGGCATCACAAAAGGTTGAGATGGAGATGGGGGGTTAAGAAGTGTGGCAAGGAAGTTGGTCCCTCAACATATTTTCGCCTGAAATTTTACCTCTATGTGTGACCTATGTTGCAGGGACCTGAATTTTATGTGTGACACTCAGCCTCACCATGATGAAAATTTGTGCCCAGTTACATTAAAATCCCTCAATGCATTTTAAAGTTTTGCTGCTGGCAAGCATTTTTCAAAGAGGTCAAAGTGACCTTGACCTTTGAGGCTTTGACTTACAGACCTGGTTCATGCAGGGGGCATCACGTTTCTTGGTGGTGAACAATTCTGTAAAGTAACCTTTATATTCCTCCATGAATGTAGGAGATACACTCTGGACAATATCTGGATATTTAATAATCTTTTGCGGCCTTGACCTTGCAAATAATAACCTAAATTACACCATGTCACACCTGTAGTCATGATATTTACCATTTGTATTACAATCCATCAATAAATGATGTCTAAATGGTCCCTATACTGTGGCTATATATACACAACTTCATATCTTTATCTGAACTTTGACCTCTATGTGTAACCTTGACCTTTGTTGCAGGGACCTGAATTTAGAATGCAACACTCTGCCTCACAATGGTGAACATTTGTGCCAAGTGATATCGAAACCAGAATCTCTCCATGCATGTAGAGAATTAAGCTCCGGACAAGCATTTTTTAATGACCTTTAAATGTGACCTTGACTTTTGACCTAGAGACCTAGTGCATTTGCCTGACACAGCTTCTCATAGTGGTGAACATTTTTGAAGTTTAATTGAAATCCCTCCATAGGTGTAGGAGATAAGCCCAACAAATTGTGCGCTTTAGGTCTTTTTTTTATATTATATATGTCCGTCGCCCTTTTAAAAGACTGGCTTCTATTATATATCAGATTGTAAAACTGGTTGGCCTTGCAATCCAAATATTGAGACTAGTAGGAGATACATATGTTTGCTCCGAACAAAAGTGGACGGCGCCCACCCGACTGGAGCATTCCCATAATGCGACCCATTTTTCAAATGGACAAATAAAAACAGTTTCTAGTATTTCGCATGCCCATGTTTGTCTTTCAACGTCTGGCATGTAGGTCTGAGCATCAGATAACAAATTAACATTTTCTTGAATATCTTTGATTCTGACTTAGTTGCAAGCCAATTTACATTAATCTAGTAACACATTCATATGAAACATATAAACAGGTCTATCTAGTAATTTCTCAGTAAGATATACCAGTTTGTACTCTAGACTTTGGAAAAAATGCTATTTTAAGATTTTGACAAATAGCAAGACAATCCGAATTCTGTTACAGTTTTAGTTATTTTTTTTTATTTAAAAAATGCCGATCATTTATAAATGTCTTACACATTAAAAGAAATCCTAAAGTGTCTTTTAAATTTAATAATTTAAGTACCTCTGATTATGAGACGCTGAACTTATGAAATTGGTCAAATCGGCGAAATGACGTAGCTGTTCTGAAATTTGGTTCGAATAGTTCTGTGAACGAAACGCCTCTAACGACCCAAAAAATGTGCCGCCAATTATTTTATATATAACATTTATTGATCTTATTTATACAAAAGTATAAATAGAGCACCAGAAACATATCTCTACTTTAAATTATTCCTCAAACAGCATATTACATAAATGACATTTTTTACGACATTTGCCGCAAGTAATTGACCTTCTTCCGTCGTAGGACGTTTGTGAAAAATAAAATGATTTCAATACCGAAATCAGCGGGTGTTACCGCAGTTTCACAGATTGTAAATTGTACTAAGACTTCAGCAGCACCCGTTATTTTAAAGAAACACTTATATAAACGTAATGTATTCCTTCCTACGAAGAAACATACTTTACCAAGTTCTGGCATCGCTGCTTTTGTTGAAATAGGAGGTAAATTCTGGGAATTTCTTATTATTTCAATGTCTTATTGCAAAACCGTTATTTAATAAGTAATTTGCCTTGCAAAGGAAGCCTTTTTTGAAAATTTATAAGACAATTTTATTTTTAATGAGTTTAATAGAACTTCAAGGTAAATGTATCGTATAAGTACCTAATCTCACACCCACCCTATTCTCAAACCTTTCATTCATGAGCTGTTTATTTTTTACTAGAAGTCCCTATGTTGTCATCAATTTGTGTGCATAAAATTTAAGTGTCTGTCAGATAATTCTGCTGCTGTAAAATGAAAACAATGCATAGGAAAGGATATTGACATGTAATAGTGGCAGTTTTAAATGAGATTCGTTCGGACATATAGCGATCACAATTTGGCCGTAATAAGGAACATGTACTCTGTGGGTTTGTTGTTGGGATTCAAGTAACAACTAAGTTAATTTAAATAAACAACAATCTTTTAATCAAGTCCCAATTGTTTTTATAATATCATATAATGAAAGTTTATTAAATAAGTTTCAAGTAAATTTAAATCTTATTTATGATTAGTACAGCTTTATGAATAAATTGATAGATACAGTCGATTTAAATTAACACTTAAAAGTGTTTACTGTAAGACCGAAGTCTTTATTTAAAGTCAAGGCTTGAGCCTTGTTGTACTGACCTAGACGGTACAGCACCGAACTAACAATCAATGACAAGTTTCGGTTATTTATTTGCTTCCAGACAATAAACAAAGAATTGATTGGTTATTCATAAAGATAATCTAAAAATCGATTCGTTTATTATAATGATAAGAGCCAATCAAATCACTTCTTATATAATGCACTTGGCAAGGTAATCAAAATGGATGCCTCCATGAAATAAAGCGTTGTGGAAAGTAAACAAATTATATTTTTTTTGAAAGTTAATGAAAAATCGATCTGTTACAGACATTACATATTTTATTACTTAGTGTAATTTCATACAAATTGCTAATATGACTTATGAAATTAGGCAAAGCCTATGAACGAGGAAATCAGTAAAAAATCCTTTCATTTTTCCGTTTTAAAGGTGTCATTCGGTATTATATGTACCTGCTTACGTTTTCACTCGGAACACTTGACGATTTCAGTGTCTATTCTAGGAGGGGGGATTCACCCATATTTTTGAGAATTCCCCCCTATTTTTTCAAAGGCAGGGGGAAAATTTTACATAGAGAAAGAAGGAAAAAAATCAACAAATGTAATAAATTCTCACTTTTCGATAAAAATCCCCCATTTTTCAAATCCTGTGATTTTTATTAATCCGAAAAGTTGAGATTTGTTCCGTTATCGGAATACACCACCTTTTATCATTGAGTTACATGGCGGCGCCTAACTAGAACTGACACTGAAAATTTCATTGATACGTATAGAATTCTGTATATTTTTTAATTGTTTTTTTATTTGATTTTCTAAATATACACGTGTAGTCTATAGCCGGGCAAGCCAAGCCAAGGACTTTTACCTTTGAAAGTCCTGTAGATTCACCATTAACTAATTTTGAAAGTGAAAATAAGAAACAAAAAAAATCTTAAAGCAGGTACTTCAATGTCAAGTGATAGTCATATGACAATCACTTCATTGACTTAACTAAACAGTAGAATTTTAGAGATTCTTTTAGGTTCTTTATTTTAAAAGGCCATGTCAGTTTTACAGAAGAGGGTCATGCTTTTCCAGGATTGAAATAGAGCTGTTTTAAATGTTGAAATTCAGTTAAATTTTACAGAAATGTTAAAAAGTGATTAAAGTGTACATATATGTAAAGAATTTTTATAAAGATATATTTTTATTTACACTAAAAGACCTCCTGAATGCTTAGAGGTTTGAGAGCTGGTTTGTCCACTACACTACAATCTGTGATTTGAACATAACCAGGTCTAGTACATAGGTGTTTGGCCCATTGATTGGTCACTACCCCCCGGCCCCACCCACCCCTCACCCACTCTACAACCCTCCTACCTCTCAAATCCATGTAAACTGCAGTATTTTTCATTTGAAACATAATAATCAGATACATAATTACAATTTTTGAACCGTTTTTCCGAAATGTCAAATTCCAAATCGTAATGAAACTTATGGTTCTGATGTTCTGCACAGTGCTCTATCCTTTGGTAGTCAACTTCAAAAATTGTTCAAAGAATTTAATTCCAAGCAGAACTCTGGTTGCCATGGCAACTGAAAGAAAAAACTTAAAATATCTTTCTTTTGTTTATATCCCCAGATTAGCTGGGAGAACCCAAAATATTTTCAAATCCGGAGTAAGTTTACTTAGAAGAAAGTATAAATTTTTGCTATATTGCTAACAGGTCCATGCCAAGTGAGGTTCTCCCACACAGTATATATTTTTGCTATATTGCTAACAGGTCCATGCCAAGTGAGGTTCTCACACACTGACGTCAAATTTCCAGACTATGACGTGTACAGAAAGAAGGGAAATATTGACAAACATGATGTCAACAGAAGTGAAACACCCTCTCGTACCTTCTCATATGTAATGGCTGGAGGTACAATTTTCTTAATATTTTTGTTATCTTCGCAAATGAACCAAGGCTTATGTCATTATTGCATATTATTTGAAAAAGTGATTTTAGTGCTGTAAGTTAATTTATACCTATTTTTTTAGGACATTCAATTTGAAATTCTTTTATATTAACTATGTTAAATATATGCATAAAGTATTTGTAGAGGTTAAAGGATTATAAGTAATAACCTGTTTAAATTTGTAAATTGATTATGAACAAATGTACACAATACTTTAGTGTGTATAATTATAAATTAATGATATATTAAAAAAAGAATTGACTACATGTGTAGCTCATCAGCATATTTCCTAAGTTCTACATCTGTACATGAAGTTGTATGCGCATAAACGAAATTTAGGTGAAAAAAGTTTGCTTTGTATTACTATTAGTACATTAGTGTGATACATTCTTTCATGCATTGAATGTGCAGTAAATATTAAATTTGCATAAACTTTTTTCCCCCAAGTTCCAAATACAGTAGACAGATTGAGAAACAGCTACATGTAGGCCTCAGTTTTTACATATAATAAGTATGTATTGTGAACTTAAAACTAAGAAGAAGCTTCCTTTTCCTTTTCAAAATATAAAGAGAAAATAGGAAGTAATCAGAAGTAATCTTGATTATCTGTGTAATAAACAGTTATGTAATTCAATCAGTAACCTGGGAAAAATTAGAGTAATCCAATGTAATTGTAATAAAAAAAAAGGAGTAATTGTAATTTAATCAGTTACAGACGAAAGTAATTTGCCCCAAGTTTGTATTCAAATGGGAGTTCTTTCATGTGAATGAGGATTTATGAACTTTGGTAGTAGAACTACAAAATGCCAGCCTTACCTTGCAACTTTTTCTGAAAACAAATGTCATTGCAAAGCATAATTCACATTGAATTTCATAAACATTATTTGAAAAAAAATCTAATGAAAGGTTGTTTGCATAATGAAAGGATATTACTTTTATTGATGTTTCATGCTTTATAAGATATTATATTATGTACCTTATGTAACAAAGTGTGAGTCAGTGCTGTTCATGAATTGTTTAATACTCATGGAAGATTTGTCATATAATAGGTTAACTCTCTTGTTAGTAATGATTATTATGAAGGATTATTGGCAGCAAATTTTGCTGTAGCTGTTTATTTTGTGGGCCATGGGGGTTTCATGGAGTACTAAGAGAGTATTTTTACCATTCTGTTTATTAATGCATTTTGGTTTTGGAAACTGCATCAAAGCTAAGTGTCTACTTTATTTTGATAACAAAGATGTAAATGTTACAGTGGATTGAAATTGATAAATTGTTTTTACAACCAAAATAAAGTTTGAATATTTTAATTATTTGTACATTATAGCTGGAGCGCTGGGAGGCATCTATATGGGAAAAACTATAGTGGAGAGGGTGGTAACTAGTTTAGCAACTACCAAGGATGTTTTAGCCTTGTCCAAGGTAGAAATAAATTTATCTGAAATACCGGAAGGTAAAAATATGGTATTTAAGTGGCGTGGAAAGCCATTGTTTGTAAGACATCGTACATCGGAAGAAATTGAGACAGAACAAAATGTAAATCTGGCAGAACTGAGGGACCCCCAGCATGATAGTGACCGGGTACAAGATCCTAAATGGCTGGTCTGTCTTGGAATATGCACTCATTTAGGTAAGGAATTCATGTTAAATATTTGTTGTATATTTATATAAGTTAATAAGAGGAGTCTCAGTAGCCAAGTGGTGAAGGTCACTGACTAAATCACGTACCCCCTCACTTCTGTGGAGGGACTTCGGATTCTTTCATGTACATGTAAGGAAGCTATCTAGCTATCTTACAGAAGGTCTGTGGTTTTACTCAGTTTTAAATTTAAAAAAAAGGCATTCAAACAAACAAATTTATAATATAGTAACTTCTGATACAAATATTTTCTTTTTATTGAGTTGTATTTTTCAGTGAACATACCCTGGGTCATTAGGGAAAGAAATAATTCGGAGGATATCTTTGAGTTGCACATTTGCAGGATAACTATTTAGGAATTTTAGCTAAACTTCATTTTAATAAGGTTGTTCAAATTTATTTGCAATGACACCTGTAAGGGAGCTATAGTGAAATCTTGGAGCAGCCCTCTGAAAATTATCAATCAACTGGGTAAAAAAGATGTATAGCATACTGCTACATATATAACCCTTTGGTTTTGGAAATAATACCCATTTTAACAACTTTCCATGAAATAAAGTAAAATACAATGTATATGTGTCTATCAGAGTCATTTTGTTGTAATCTTATTGTCCTGTTAGAAACTGTTGAATTTGAACATATGGCAGTTTGAATGCCATCTTACTTGTTAATTATTTAATTAACTAAAATGATGGTCAGGGGCAGCAAAATCTGATTTTGACTTACTTGCCTGTTATTTTCTGAAGCATTTCTAAAGCTGTCCATAGGATATTAATATAGTAAATTCTTGAAAATTTCTACTTGTCCATAAGGCTGTGGGACAACCTGGGCAATATGGACAATTGATTTTGTGGTTCCTGATATTTTATCATATTCTACACTGTAGTTTTTTTTCTCTCATTAAACAAAGACTAAGCTCTTGAATGTGTTTTTGTATTGAAAAATTAGTTTGTTGAAATTAAACATTTCAAGTGTGGTAGACTTTATGCAAGAAATGATTTCTGACATGACATTTGTATTATCCGTTGCTCGATGCCTGCCCATGAACCGATACCCTTAGGACAGAAATCTGACTGTGCACTATACTGTTGTACCATTTGTAGCTCTATTACTCTGTTCTTTAATAGTGAAATCCCTTTTTAAACTTCAGATAAACTATTTGAAACTCAAAGCAGGGATTAATAATGACACAATTTCATCAGATTTAGGGATATACAAACAGAATTTTTCTTACATTTCAGGGTGTGTGCCAGTAGCTGATGCAGGTGACTTCGGCGGTTACTATTGTCCATGCCACGGATCCCACTACGACGCTGCAGGAAGAATCAGGAAAGGCCCCGCACCTCTGAACTTGGAAGTTCCATTCTATCAGTTTGAAGATCAACTACTTATTGTTGGTTAAAAGTGATAAATTTTAGGCCTTAGGAAATAAATTGAAGAAAAAGAAAACATATGAAAAATATTTATTAATATGGAATTTTATATCATTTTTTTATTGACAGGCATTGGAATATAATTTAATGTTTTCTCTCATTTAATGTTGTTTTTTTTTGTGCAGAATGGAAGAACAGACAAAGTGTTTTGTGATGATATTGACTCCTTTTAAAAGAAGTATTTTGTGTGAATGATGTTGAATAGAAAATGTTATTTAAAATGCCTGATTGTTTGTTTGTTCTTACCCACAAACCCATGTGTTATAAATTTTATATACTGGTATATATATTATATATAATAACTCTAGACTCAATACGTTTTTAGAAAGTTATTATATTCTTCGTGAAGTGCAAGCTGTCTTTAGGAAAAAGGTATATCACACTGATTATATTTTTTCTCTGAAAACCCTGATTTATATCTGTCTAAAGGTAAAAGGTTATATTGCTAATTCATTGATTATAGAAAGGATCTTGATAGCATCAATAGAACTGCACTTTGGCAGAAACAAATAAGCAAAAGTTTTGATAGTAAATGTATAAGGATTATTTATAACATGTATTTACAAGCTAAATCTTGTGTTAAAATTAATTATTTTAGTCATATGTCACAATTTTTTACCAGTCATACAGGTGTTCTTCAACGTGAAAATTGATCTCCCATATTGTTTTAGCTCACCTGTCACAAAGTGACATCGTGAGCCTTTGTGGGCGTCCGGCCATTGTCGGTCCGTAAACTTTTACTTTAAACATCTCCTCATAAACCTCTAAGCCAATTTCATCCAGACTTCACAGGAAAGTTCCTTTGGGGGTCACTTTTAAAAATCGTTCAATGACTTTAATTCTATGCAGAAGTCTGAGAAAAAACTGAAAATGTCTTTTTAGCTCGACTATACAAAGTATATGGAGAGCTGTCCTACTCGCCCCGGCGTCGGCGTCCGCGTCCAGATTTCAGATTAAAGTTTTGGTGCAGTAAAATATTTTTCACTATAACTTTGTCATTTCTTAAGGTATCAACTTCAAACTTCAAATATATGTTCCTTATCATCAACCACATCTTATGTGACAAGGTTCATAACTCTAGCACCAATATTTTCAGATTTATCTCCCCTTGAACTTAGAATTTTCCTTAAAAAATAATATTTTTTACTGTTACTTCTTTATTTCTTAAGGGATCACCCTCATACTTCAAATATATGTACCTTATCATCATCCCCATCTTATGTGACAAGGTTCGTAACTCTAGCACAAATAATTTCAGATTTATCTCCCCTTGAACTTAAAATTTTCCTTAAAAAAATATTATTTTTTACTGTAACTTAAAATTTTCCTTAAAAAAATATTATTTTTTACTGTAAGTTACAGTAAAAAATAATATTTTTTTAAGGAAAATTTTAAGTTCAAGGGGAGATAAATCTGAAATTATTTGTGCTAGAGTTACAGTAACTTATTTATTTCTAAAGGGATCAACTTCATACTTCAAATATATGTACCTTATCATCATCCATATCTTATGTGACAAGGTTCATAACTCTAGCACCAATATTGCAAGAATTATCTCCCCATAAACTTAGATTTTTTTACTAGAAAAATGTTATTTTTTACTATAACTTTTTTAGTTTTAAAGGTATCTACTTCAAACTTCAAATACTTATTCCTTATCATCAATTACATTTTATGTGACAATGTTCATAACTCTTGAAGCAATTGTCACAGATTTATCTCTCTTTGAACTTAGGATTTTCTTTAAGAAATATTATAACTTCTTTACATTTAAAGGTATCTACTTCAAACTTCAAATATATATTTCTTATCATAACACACATGTTGTGTGACAGGGTTCATAACTCTAGCGTGACTATTTCTAGAATTATTTCCCTTGATCTTGGAATTTATGTTAACAAATGTTATTTTTTTACTATAACTTAATACATATTAATACATAATTGATTTTTCTTTCATAGTTTTGTCCTCCTTACTGCGTCCAGTATTTTATTAGTCGAGCTAGGCTGTCTCCTGTGACAGCTCTTGTTTTTAAAGAACCCAAAAAGCTAGAGCTAGATAATTATTTGGCATGAAACATCTTCTTGTGAGTGTCTACCAATTTTCAAATAAAAGCCCAGGGGTTCAAATTGGCCCAGTCCCAGAAAGGTCATTGATTTTCCTAATATGTTGAAAGTAAAAACTTTGAAAAAATTCTTTTGATCTAATTTAATTCCACGCAGAACTCTGGTTGCCATGGCAACCAAAAGAGAAAAGTTAAAAATTCTTAATATAATCCAACATAGGAAAATCCATTAACACATTGTAATTGGTTCTTATTATATGTCCATTTTTCATGACGAGATAAGTAGACACCTTTTCTAAATTTTAGACTTTTCTATATTAACAGATAATTTCCAATCATTACAATATTTTGACAAAATATTTAATTGTTGTTGTAACCCATTTACAGTATCAGCAGTCAAAGCAATATGATCAGCAAATAGTAAAAGTAAAATTATTACAGTATGTGGTGACAGCTGTATTCCAGCAATACCACTGGTTGCTATAGCATCGTACAGTTCATTTATAAATAGAGAAAAAAGCATCTGGCTTAGATGACAGCCCTGACGTAACCCAAGAGGACACTCAAAAAATTCACTATGTTTAGAATCCATTCTGACACGAGCTTTGACAGAATTATAGATACCTTTTATTGCCCTTAAAAGATTACCTTTAATGCCCCGATGATGTAAAACTAAATCAACTTTGATCTGTCGATGCTGTCAAAGGCTTTTTTAAAATCAATAAAAGCCACATACAACTTTCTACGTTTTTGACATAAAAACTTATTTGCAATAGAATAGAGTTTAAAACCATTATCTATAGTAGAATACCCAGAACGAAATCCTGCTTGTGCCTCTGTTAATCTGTCATATACACTTGTAAAAAATTTAATTCGTTTGTTTAAAATACTAATATATATTTTACTACAAATTTCTAACAAAGCTATTCCCCTGTAATTATCAGAGTTATGAGTTGGCCCTTTTTATACGCCCGTTTGAAAAACGGGACGTATTATGGGAACGCCCCTGGCGGGCGGGCGGGCGGCGCCCAATTTTGTCCGGAGCATATCTCCTACATGTATGGAGGGATTTTAATGAAACTTCATAGAAATGTTCACCACTATGAGGAGCAGTGTCGCGCACATGAACCAGGTCTCTAGGTCAAAGGTCAAGGTCACACTTAGAGCTCATTGAAAAATGCTTGTCCGGAGCAAAACTTCCACATGTGTAGAGGGATTTCAATATTACTTGGCACAAATGTTCACCATTGTGAGGCGGAGTGTCGCGCGCAAGATTCAGGTCCTTGCGGCCAAGGTCAAGGTCACACATAGAGGTCAAAGTTCAGATAAAAATATGAAGATGTGTATATGGACCATTTAGTCATCATTTATTGAGGGATTGTAACACAAATGGTCATTATCAAGACTATGGCTGTGATACATATAATTTAGGTCAATATATACACGGTCAAGGTCACTAAAGATGATGAAATATCCAGATTTTGTAAATAGAATTTAATCAAAGGGCGACAACAAAGTTATTACTTTGTTCATAAATGACTTACACAATTACTCCCCTTGATCTACTTTCACTTTCAATTCTAAAAATAGAATTTAATCAAAGGGCATAAAATAATCCTCTTTCTTGGACTTGAGTATGTTCTAAAGAATGTAACATTTATTTACACATGTTTCATTCATTGTTCAAGATTCTTAACTGTGATAACTATGGTGTTCTGTAGACTTGGTATTTGTTCATAAAGATCATACAGTAATTACCTTATCAAATGTAAATACTTTCTCATAGAAATTTAATTATATTTTAATTTTCAAGTAAATATCAGTTCAGCTCTCCTACATGTATGGAGGGATTTTCATGAAACTTCATAGAAATGTTCACCACTATGAGGAGCAGTGTCGCGCACATGTACCAGGTCTCTAGGTCAAAGGTCAAGGTCACACTTGGAGCTCATTGAAAAATGCTTGTCCGGAGCAAAACTTCCACATGTATAGAGGGATTTCAATATTACTTAGCACAAATGTTCACCATTGTGAGGCGGAGTGTCACGCGCAAGATTCAGGTCCTTGCAGTCAAGGTCACACATAGAGGTCAAAGTTTAGATAAAAATATGAAGATGTGTATAGGGACGATTTAATCATCATTTATTGAGGGATTGTAACACAAATGGTCATTATCATGACTACGGCTGTGACACATGTACTTTAGGTCAATATATGCAAGGTCACTAAAGATGGTGAAATATCCAGATTTTGTCTGGAGCATATCTCCTACATGTATGGAAGAATTTTTATAATACTTTATGGAAATGTTCACCACCATGATATGTATTGCTCCATGCATGATCCAGGTCTCCAGGTCAAAGGTCAAGGTCACACTTAGAGCTCATTGAAAAACGCTTGTCCGGAGCAAAACTTCTACATTCATAGGGGGATTTCAATATAACTTGGCACAAATGTTCACCATTGTGAGGCTGAGTGTCGCATGAAAATTCAGATCCCTGCGACCAAAGTCAATGTTACACATAGAGGTCAAAGTTCAGATAAAAATTTGAAGATGTGTATAGGGACCATTTAGTCATCATTTATTGATGGATTGTAGCACAAATGGTAACTATCATGACTACAGGTGTGACACATTTAATTTAGGTTAATATTTGCAAGGTCAAGGTCACTGGAGATGATTAAATATCCAGATGTTGTCCGGAGCATATTTTCTACATGTAGGAGGAATTTTAATGTTACTTTATAGAATTGTTCACCACCATGAGACTTAGTGCCCTGCACATGAACCAAGTCTTTAGGTCAAAGGTGAAGGTCACAGTTAGAGCTCATAGAAAAACGCTTGTCTGGAGCAAAACTTCTACATGCATAGAGGGATTTCAATATAATTTGGCACAAATGTTCATCATTGTAAATAGAATTTAATCAAAC